TGTGATTTTTGAAGGCTGAAGACAACCGCGGAGGCCGCGAATCTTCGAAAAAACGGCGAACGCGGCGTACGCCCTGAAAAAGCGACGTTAATTAAAATGCTCGGGGGTTAGAAAGCGTGATGAATGGGATTGTCGGCCATGTACTGCGCGACACGGCCGCGCCAAGAAGCACTCTATTAATTATTAGACGACACCAAATCCATTATCCGGGACGAGGAGTGACGGAGGTCCGCGAGGAATAATCCTATTCGAATGCTATTAATGTTTCACCGGGCGTTCGTTGTCGTCCCCCCCCCCTCGCCCTCCCCCCACCCCCGCGCCTCGATAAAACAAAGCTAATTACCGGGCCCGTGGACGGGGCAGGCGCGGCACAACGGCTGCGTGGGTCCGGTGTTAACCCTACGTCCCCTCGCTCGGGTCCAGCGGGCCCATATGCCCTTTAAAACTGACCGGCCGCCTCGACTGCTCCTCCGAGCGCGGATATTGTGGGACAGCACAAGATGATCGACGCGAGATATCGACAGCTGCGGAATTAAAAGTATCGGAGTTGATAGAATTTCTTGGCGAAACTATGAATATATCTTAAATCAGGCGTGCGCGTATTATAAAAGTCCAGGTGTTAGGTAACGCTCGTTCGGCCAGTTTGAAGCTACATCAATTTGCAAGCTGTAATTAAAACGTCTCATTGAATGAAATTTTATGTCCGCCGAGTCCATCTTGATACCAAAAGTATGTCTCCCGGGATAAAAATAAAGTTCCCGGTATTTTCCTCGGCCTGTCGGGGTATAAGATAATTTCTCCGCCGATCTACTGACCACAGGCGATTTAGTATCGTGTAACGCTGATGATATACTGCCCACATATGGTTAAATTGTCAATTTGAGTATCAACATCTCGTTATTCTCTAATACCTTAGTATTACGGTATATTCTTCTTTACAGCGGAGTTTAGAGTATCATTATCGAAATTGCTACGTTTTTTAAAGAGTCTATCTGTCTCAAGATTTGACAGTAATAAATATATAAAAATGTTGGCAACACCACGAAAATAATATACGTACATTTTCCTATAATTATCCATCGTTGCGAGAATTATATGTGTTAAACCCAATGCCTGGAGTAGATATGAAACCTCTCGGGTCCTTTTTTTAAATGAGAAATAAAACGTTAATAATCCCGCCGGAATCATTTCCGGCGCTCGAAAGCTTTTCGCGGCAGTCGTGACGCATTATTTCTCGTACACTGGACGTCTCGCGAGCAGAATGTAGCGTAAGAGACACGAGTCGGGCGGATAAGAGACGCCGGTCTCTAGGAGCGGCGGGACTCACAGTGACATCTCATTAACACTATTTTCTTAATAACCCGCGATAAGAACTGGTCCTGCCCGCGAACCATTCCGACGTGTCCATTTCGCTTTTTTGCGCAGCCTTGGCGAGCTCCTTGGGGGCAGCGCAAGCAAAGGCCGCGCAAAGGCCGTTAAATATATGTATATACCGCGTAAGAATAATAATTATTCCTAAGTATAGGCCTGCGCGAGAGTGGCCATCGCGCGGCAGCGCGGTGTCTTTGACGGGCCCCGAGAGTATTCCGCGCTCGTTCTCGCGTAGCCTGGCGTCGCCGTTTCCCATGGCGAGCGCTTCAATTAAACAAACAGTTCGGGGCCAGATGCGTAAAATTTGATTTTACATATTAATTCCATGGGCAGTCAATGGCGCCGTGTCGGGGAGTCCGCGGGAGTCGTTAACGACGTGACTTACGGTGCATTAAGCGCAGCGAGAGCCGGCGAGCGTCGGGTCATTGCGGCCGAGAAGAGAGGGGAATATTCGTGGCGGGGAGTAAAAATCGTCAACGCGGGTTGCGGGGCACAGAGGAACTTGGAACTTTGAAGGTTCTACGTTTTTACACGAGCTCGAAAGCTCTTGAGAATCATTGGCGGATTCGCGACTTACATCGCTTAATTAAGATCACAACTTCCGTTAATTGTCCATTTCTACCAATCGTAGATTGATCTGAATTTCGGTTTAACTTGTTTCGTAACGTCTTCTCCTCTTTCGAACTGGATAAAAGACAATTAAACCGAGATAAAAACTGACCTGCGTTGGTGGAAATCGACATACGGCGTCTAACTTTGGACGTCAATTTCTACAATCGAGCAGGGATTTTGATATCTTCTGTGCATCCTCAAGTTATACGTTGTTGTTAAACTCTGGAGTGTGCTCTCCAAGTTGCAATGTTCATCTCGTAAGCATTCCATTGTGATGGAATTCCGTGTTGACTGTCATAATGCATAGCGAAAAAAAAAGATTTGCTATGACAACCAAAAACCCTGCTAGTCTAGCAAATTTACCGCCGTAATATACGGACAGCCAGTTTGCTATGTTGCAGTAATCAAATCGCAAAGCTGCATAGGATTAGTAATTATATCTAATAAAATTTGATGTTACAGCACGGTAGATTTGTTAGTAGAGCAAAGATGATTCTTTACTACACCAATGGAAAAGATAGCTTGGGTACATGTAACTAATTTTTTTGCTGTTACATAAAAGAAAATTAGGTGTATTAATAAATCCTATTATAGCAAAATTATTAGTTACGCCAACAATTAAAATTAGGTAAAGTAATGCTCATTAAAACATTTACTCTGCAATTATTATTGTGGCGATCGCAATATGCGATGCTTGCCCTGGCTTCCACGCCTCCCTTTATACCCTACGAGACTGAATTTTGCTTTCGAGTTTTTGGCCGCCACCATGCGCGGCCTAGCGGCGGTCGGCGAACTACTCAGAGGCTGGCGCTAGCTACGTCTCGCACTTAGCGAAAATGATTTGTTGCAGTAACTAAGATAATTTCAGCAAAAATCGATTTGTTTTATGAACAAAGTAACGATTGCTCTTACACACGACTTCTTTGCTGCATTAGCAAATTTACTTCTTTAAAACGTTTAATTTTGTTCAGCAAACTATAGGATTTGCTGAATCAACTAAATCAGTTTTTTCCGTGTGGATGTTAATCTCGCGAGTCACTAGCGGCGTCGCTTCTCCTCCCGTTTGCGTATTTTTTCGAAACGTTGATTAAGATCTACAGGCTTCGCGACTTTTTCAGATCGTTTCGTTAATTAACGAAATATTTTGTAGCTAAAAGTTCGCGTTCCAATCGCTTGTTTCGCTTACGATAAATAACTTCTCGCGCACAAACTCATCTTACAAACAGGGATCGACGACTCTTTTAATCTTTAGAAGATCAAGGTTGAAGTAATTTGCTTCTCACAATCGGACGGAGTTGAACGAATGCATTTGTTTCTATAAAAAATGTCGGCTAATCCGGCCGTCGTGTGGTAGCCGCACTTGTCAGTTATCACTGTCGTAACTGCTAAATAACTCGCACATGTTGCAACGTATCGAATGGTCCGCTTGCCGGCGTAAATACCTGAGGTTACGAGCCTGCCATGCGTATCCCTGGCTAAAGACGCTCTGGACTGGGCAAGTCAAGGCACATACGTGTCGGCAGGGTGTCAATCAGTCCGACTGGCACACCGGCAACTTTTAATTATCGAAATCCTGCGGGACACGGCCCGCCTGTTGTTAACGATTCGAGAAGCGCACGCTGATTCCAGTAATGAAGAGTAAAATGTAAATCCGCGCGCACATAACGGTCTGTGCGCCGCGAATTGATTATTAAAGTTAATCCCCTAGTCATGGAACTCGGAACAAAAGCCCGCCTGGTTATTGAACCCTCATCGCCACGGACCAGCAAGATCGTTGATTGCCGAGCGTTGCAACAGCTTTATTTTTAGCAAGCTGCAACGAGCTGCAACTTCTGGACACTTACGTTAGCGCGGCGTTCTGCTGCACTTTTATTTACGTATATTAATTAACAAGCTCCTTTAAGATAAACTGGTGATTTCGATAAGGCGCTAGGAGCATATGACGATATTGTGAGAATCGATATTGTTTTTTTTTGTTAAAGATGGAGAGAAACAAAACACGCATGTAGAATTGGTTTGCAAAAATTAATGAATATCGATAAGTTTAATGTAAAACGTTTCGGTTACCGAAGGTAACCCTTTTCAATGGCTATACAAATTAGTGCGCTGTTGTAATACTTTAAATTCGGACATATATCGCGTCGTTGACGTGTGTTTTGGATGTGTGGAGTCTTTTTTTCTTTCTCTTCGCTGTGACGGTGTGGTCGGCGTTGCGGAGATTCGTGTGACGTTTGGCTACCCGAATTCTCTTCTGTTCTTCGGACACGTGTATGCGATCATCGGATACTTGGAATGGTATCGATAACGCGTCTATATTGTATGATGACAGGGTCAATTAGTTGGTCAAGCTGAGTAAAGGTCAAGATATGCCGACGATATAGTCACAGCTGTACCTCCGGCATGTGTTACAAGGAAGTACTAAATACTTTCAACTCGATACGTAAAAGACTCCAATTTACAATGGAAATTGGAGTCAACGCGATAAACTTCCTTGATGTCACTCTAATTGTTAAAAATGATACGCTAATCTCAGACTGGTGCCACAAGCCCGCTTTTTCCGGTAGATATCTAAGCTTCTTTTCAAACCATCCCATAAAAAGAGGCACTGTAACATCCTTAGTGGATAGAACATTTTTACTATCACATCCTTCTTTCCACCAAAAAGACCTGAAAATAGCAACCAAACTATAATACCACTCGAAAACGGTTATCCCACGAACTTAATTTTTCACACCACGAATAATAGACTACAATTCCTACAAAGAAAGAACGCGAGACACTAATTCGCAATGAATTTCTTTAATTAGAATTTGCCAGCCAAGCGTCGTCTAGCAGTTTTCTACATTGGTTAATCATGTATTGACGTTAAGTAATTCCTCACGTTAATCTTTCTTAGTCGTTTTCCTTTTCATTCTATTCTAACAATAAGTTCTTTCGTTCCGAAAAACACATCGTCGATTTGAATCGCGTGCGCAATGATTTCTTTCTTTACCAAATAAGCTTTGAAACTTTAGTTAATGAATAACGCAAGGTTGTTCAAAGGCGGGTATTGTTGTTTACTTTAACGTAACGTTTGTCAAAGAATCTGTCGCTAAGATAATCCGTCTATTTTCTTGTAATTTATACAAATGTTACATAAAGATACGTCTGTCTCGTTACAGCTTGAAACCACCACAGAAGGACGGGGTGACAAAGTCGAATCCCAGCAAGCGGCATCGGGAGCGATTAAATGCCGAACTGGATACGCTGGCATCATTGCTTCCTTTCGAGCAAAATATCCTCAGCAAGCTGGATCGACTGAGCATCCTCAGACTCAGCGTAAGCTACCTCCGCACCAAGAGCTACTTTCAAGGTAAGTGTCCGGTGTTACATGCGCGTACGTTATCGCAATTTATCGCGCATCTGTTTCACTTGCGTTTCGCTCCAACAGATATTGCTAAATTTCCGATTCTCAAACGTACGGGCGCACGTTCAGGGGAATTCAATCCAACTTAAATCGTACAATTACATCGCTCTAAGTTGCTTGATGACTCGGTTAAGAAGCATATTACACGTGCCGCTTAATTAGTTGCCGATAACAGATTACTTTAATCTATTAATTTGTTATCGCTGCTCGCGCGTAACTGACAGCTGAAATACGTAGAATTCGGACAACAAATATCTTAAGTTGTAGCTATGAGCTCCATTATGATGCAACCAACCACGATCTTTCGTTAGCACGCAAGGTGCTCGTTACGTTTTCAAGACAATATGCTTCCGGAAACAATGCGCGGTCCATAAACTTGCCCATCATTCTTCTGTAATCCATAGACCGCTGGCCATTGACAGCTTAATACCAAAATCATGCTTTGTACGTTGCACGGGAAAAAGAAGTATCGAAACTCGACCCTTTATTCGAACACAATAAAAAGTTAGCCTCTAAATTACTAAGTGCAATTTCATCCGCGTGAAAATTCACCGAGAAAAGTTTGTGTTAAAAGTGTTCGGGAATCGATTGAAATTTTATGGCGGAAGTAGTCGATGCCAAGAATTAATATATTGAAAGAAATTGCATTTAACGACGATAAACTAATAAAATGACGATGGGGGGAAAGCATTGTGCGAAGACAATTGTCGTTGCGTAACGAGGAACTTTTTTCTTATACCTCTGCGCCCGAAAAGAAGAAGACTCGATTGCCGTGAGTAATACGTTCGGTCGCGATGCAGAAATTATGCAACTTGAGCGAGAGAACGCCTTCCTGCACCACGGGTGTGCAATCTCATCTGCAATCGCAATCAGGTAGGGCCAATCGAAGGATCACCGCGGAATAATGGGTAGACCCTCTCTCGTCTTCCTCCTCTACCATTATCCGCCACCGTGCTTTCGTCCCTTGTTTCCAATCTCGCGACGAGCAAAGTGACTCCCGCGCCAACGCGAAGTCGAGCTCATTGATTTCACGCCGGGATTACCGGGATGGGGAAAAAAAATATGATTGTCTTCGTATCCACCTCTCGCTTTCGCTGACGTTAAGAGGCGTCGATACCATTTAAAGCGTATTTCCGTTCGGTTAATGGAAAAAGATTATTCCATAGAGTTCCTGACAATAACGCCTTTGCATCAGGTGTTTCTTTACAATTAATTTGAATCAACTGTCGTTAACCTCGTAGTTGAATGCTAGAAACTTTTTGTATAAAAGTACAACTGTCGTTCTTGGAAGTTTCGGATATGATTCTCTTACAAAGTTCATTCGAATGTAAAGTCATATCTAAAGTGAACACAGCAAGTGGATTTACATTACTTAAAAATTTTTTGTTTATTGCAATCGTGAAACGTGTCTACTTTTTGGTACTTTGTTTCGACTCCAAATTTTCTTAATCATTCAAATTGGTTTTTCCATCATTCAAAAAGCATCTCCATTTCCAGAAAATTGTCTAATTTATTTAAGTAGGTAACAATTTTAGCTTTTCCCCAAAGTCTGTGAATGCAAGATGTAAATGTCAAACATTCTTTTCGAAAGTCTGGAAGAAGAAAAGTATAATTTTGATACTCACGACAAAGAGTTCTTATCTACTTTTGCGCAAAATATGCGACGTCGACGCCGATATAGCGTTGAACCAACGTCACATTGAATCGCCAGAATTCCTTTTGATACACGGAAAAAAATGCTATTGAATTAAAAAAGAACTGAAGTTGCTTCAATTAAACGTT